CCCACAACCCGGGTATGTGCCCTGACCGGGAATTGAACTGGGATCTCCTGGATCATAGGATAAAGCTCAAACTGCTGAGCCATGCCAGCCGGACCCAATATGATATTTAGTGTTATTCTGTAGTTTAATTTTATAAGAAAATTTAGAATGTTGCTTTATTAAAATTTTTTTTCTCTTATCAACAGTGGGCATGAAAATTAGTATAGCTAAGTATTTTTGCACATCTGGTATAATTTTTTAGGGTAAATTTTTAAATGTGGAATTGCTGGATAAAAGGACGTATTAATTTTTAAAGGCTTTTGAATAGGTATTGCCAGATTGCTCTTCAATCGAACTTAGGAGTAGGTTTATACAACCACCATTTTACTCCCTTCATTCTGTATTATCCTGTTTATAATTGTTTAAGTCTTTCTAATTTTCTAGGCTTGCATGTAGCTGTGTGTAGCCTATGTGCAAGTGTATAGTTCTCATTTTCATATTGAAAGCACAATGTGTTGTATTTTATTCTTTATAATTTTATGTTTTCCAGATTTTTACCACTGTCACATTACTATTGTATTCAAGATTAAAAATGAAAATTTCCTGCTATGGATATTATCTGTGTATTCAAATATCATAATAAACCCTGTCTCTTCTGTAGGAGGCTGAAAATATCAGTGATGCACCAAGAGAGCGTCAGCGAGGGGTCCTTTCACCAGTAGTGAGAAAGACGGCATTCTTATCCTGGCTATGCTGAGATTGTGCCAAACACTTTAGAAATTTAGTTCCTCTACTTTGGAAAGGTTCCTTTAGATCTTAAGTCACAACCTTGGTAGTAGAGAAGATTGCATTGGTATACATTTATTTTTAGTAATTGGCAAAAATGATTGGGTGCTAAACTTTGTGAATGAAGTGGTTAATTATTTTGACTTTTTGTTTGGGGCTCAAAAGATAGTAGGACACAAGGCAAAGACTACTTTTCTTGAGTAACTTGATCATAAAAATATTTCAAAATGAGTTAAAATTTCTTTTAAAATGGAAGAAATTATTAGAAAAAATTGAATGACCTTTAAGGTGGCTATAATTTGGTATAACATATTTTTGAATAGTCATTTATTTAGCAAATATGTGAGTGCCTGCCATATTCCAGGTACCTTCAAGGACCAGACATGTAATAATGGATAAGGCATAGTCCCTGTTTGATAGAATTTCTTCTAATGAGGGAGCCAGACTAGAAAATAAGTAATTATAATGCATCATGATAAATATTATGAAGTATTCTGTGACCTCCCTGAGTACAAGGCCCTCAGCAGGGTAGGGTGTAAATACCCCTAGGAGGGGTACTTAATAAGCCAGCTTTGGGGGTTTGGGAAGATTTTCAAGAAGGGTGATATCTATTTGAATTTATTAGTTTTAAATGTGTTTGAATATAGTCAGATGTATTGAATGTATTTTGAAGGTATTTGAATGCCTTAGTTTTGTGGATGTGCATAAAATCATATGTCCATGAGCAACCTGATTGCAGAGGTACTTAGTGTTGTGTATGTGATGCAGAATAGTCTGGAGCACGTGAGAAGTTGCTGTGACTAGTACCTGATGGATCTGATATGGCCAACGCTGACAGGAATTAGACGTATTTGTACATTACTGTGAAAATAATAACCAGGAACTCAGAGTGATGGTTTCGTATGGGCTGCAAGCTGGCTGTTGTGAGACCATTGGCACTCTCCTTCATCCTACTTAGGAAGAGCATTGGAAAGAAAAGAGTTAAGATGATGAAAGTATGAAACCTTGCTCAAAATATTTAAGCTATTCTTCCAAAGAAAGATTTGGAAAGAGAGTAAAGTGAAATCTATACTAAAAGCAAACATAATAAAAGCGAATTATTCTATGATGATTTTTTTTGGAGTCATGGTCAGTGGTTTTTCTTAGACATTGGTGAAAACTTTCCAAAGGTGTTGTAGAAAACTTTCTTCTGTAAGGCATGTGGATCCTAAAATAAAGAGCCGCTGGTTGGTCATGCCAGTGAGATTAGGGCCTTTAGAGACAGACAGATCTGGATCTCTCTTCATCTCTGGGTGATGTGAGCAAGTCACTTAACATCTTGGGGCTCTGGCTATACTTTCTGTGAAGCGTTGGTTTAAAGTTTTGAGGTAATGCTTGATCTGTAATAGGGGCTCATTAAATCATTCTTACTGCTGTTATTTCTGTCTTCAGTGGTCTACATCCTCATTTGGGGGATAAAGGACTACATCTAGGCAGTATGGTCATTCATCCCCAGCACTGGCATGACTTTCCTGTAGATATATTTGTTCCTATATTAGGAACTATGGCCAGGGAGCTTTAGAATCTGCCCAAATAAGGGGTATTCCCCTTTCTCTGCCAGTCTAACTTTGCATCTTTTTATTGCATGACAGAAATTTCAAGATACCAAGAGTAATTCCCTAGAAACTGTAGCCTTGTGTAGGTGTTGTGCTTTTCCTGCTCACTGCCTGAACACTGGAGGTTTCACCTGTCTGAGAAGCTGAAACTGTGCCATTTCTTTGGAATTGTATGTAGATAACAGAAAGGTGTGACTGGAACCTTTGCTAAACCTTTAGCAGCCTGACCCCAGATGATCAAGGGGGATGTTTGATCCCATTTACGGCTTTTCTCAGGCATTAATTATGGGCTAGGCACAACTTTCTTGCTTAACTGTGGACACTGAAGGTTAGGTTTCTCTGTGTTTGATATAGACTTAAAAGCAAGCCAGCATCCTTTCTAAACAAAGGTACTTTTAGCATATGTGGTCTATTAATTTACCGCTAGGCAAGAGATACACAATTTCTTTCAGTATCTTTAGTTAGAAAATGGGGATAGTATTTATTAACCCACTTGTTTCATGAGCAAGGGAAAAAATATTCTATGGTCTGTCAGAGGTATGTAAATTCAGTGTTTATTTTCTGTATACAGGTATGATCAGGATAAACGGGTGGGGCCAAGCAGGCAGATTCAGTTACTAGGTCAGATGGATGGTGCCGTTCAGGTTGTAAGTGAAGAGTCAGGAAATAGAAAGGGCAGGAGTAACAGCCGCCAGGAGTCCTAATTCAGTGTACTCTTTGTTACTGAAGACGCTAGT